TCTCTCTCTCTCTCTCTCTCTCTCTCTCTCTCTCTCTCTCTCAGAGGCAGGGTCTCTCTCTCTCTCTCGAATTTCAGGCTCTGCAATTTCTCCGACACTGCAGCAGCCGCGTTCTGCTTTCAAACGTTTCTTTAGTTTGTTATTGCTATCATCCTCATTTTTTTGCCGACCTCAAAATAACTTATCGTGCAATTAATTGATTTATTGACTATCGCGACAGGCCTACTTATTGATCATTTTTGCTAAACAAAAAAGTGTTTGTTGTTGTCTTACATGCTTTCCCCAAAATTCAATGTAAGAAATTAAATGTGAAGCAATCATTGTATTATACAGTATATACAGAGCTTTATCATTTAATAAGTATTTTACTTTATACAGCAATGCAATTGATTTTACTATTTTTATTCTTAAATAATTTGAGATTTCCATGCCAGCTTTTCATAAATGACACCCCAAAATATTACTTCACTGACTCTACAAATTTCAGTATCATTTTAATACGGAATGAAATTTTGATAGTTTTCTCTCTGTTACAAAGTACCATTTATTTTTTTAAATCCAAATTAAAGTTTGTACCTATGTAAATTCTGTCTGTATCACCTCCAACATCTGTTCAATATTTTTGCCACAATATGTCATCTGCAAGCAGAATAGATTTTGAAAGCTTCGATACATTGACCAAATCATTCACATATAAAATAAACAGTTTTGGTCCAAYCACAGAACCCTCAGGAACTCCACAACTAATATTACATAATTCAGATCTTGCATTTGTTTACTTGAACCGTTTCATATTTTTCAAATAACTTGTTACCCATTGTAGTGCTAATCTCTACTGTAGGGCTTCTGCTAGAAAGCTGAAGATGAAGAGAAAATTTGTCTTTCAAAATGACAGTGACCCAAAACATACATCCAAATCAACAAAAGAATGGCTTCACAAGATTTAAGTTTTGCAACAGCCCAGCCAGAGTCCAGACCTGAATCCCATAGAAAATATATGGGATGATCCGAGGAGGGGTGTGCACAGGASATGCCCTCACAATCTGACAGATTTGGAGCGTTTTTGCAAAGAATAATTGGCAAATATTGCAGAATCAAGATGTCATGCTGGTTGACCCCTACCCAAAAAGACTGTGCTGTAATAAGGTCTAAAGGTGCTTCAAGAATTAGTTTAAGGGTGTGCACACTTTGGAACCATCTTATTTTACTTTAATTTTTTACTTTCCCACCACAAAAATCTTTTTTTCCCACTAAGTTGTACAGATTATAGCTCACTTTAAAAGGTGGGAAAAGTTCTGAAATAATTTATCTTTGTCTCATTGGTCTCAACCTAGAATTTAACTGGGGTGTGTACACTTTTTATATCCACCATAACTCCTTCATTGGCAGACTCCACTTAATATTATACATGTTTTAATTAAAAGCTCTGGAACAACAGGGCTCTCTCTACAGGGTCAACAATGAACACTGGAACTCAATGAACTCTTGACTTTGTACGCTGTGGAGGTGAGTTTTCTCTTCAGCAGCATCTCTGGTCTTGTTTCTACAGGGCCGGTTCTTCACACAGACTAACTTTTGAAGTCTCAGAGTACCTGTATCGATCATCCGCGACTACTACAGTACAGGCAGGTTACTGTGCTGGCATGCAGCGGTGACTCTTGAACGTGCCAAGATGGCGGAAGCTGCGGCCACATTGCTGGCAGCAGTAAGGTGTGGCCCCACTGTGGATCCTCTGGTGGGTGTACAGATTCCCTAGCTCTTTAAAGCAACGACCACACTGAGGACATGCATATGGACTCTCTCCAGTGTGCACTCTTTGGTGTCTTTTGAGCCCCGACAGCACTGAGAAGCCTTTCCCACACTGTGGACAGGGGAATGGGCTCTGAGCTCCACTGTGGACCAACCTGTGACTTTTCAAACGAGCTGCATGGCGGAATGTCTCCCCACAATCTGGACACACAAAGGGTTTCTCTCCAGTATGAATGCGCTGGTGCTGACGAAGGTTTCCGAGATAATTAAAATGGCGGCCACAGTCCCCGCATTCATACCCACCCTCAATTTTAATCTCCTTTCTCAATGTTCGACCCATGCTGACATCAGAACCTGGTTGCGGGCTGTCCTCACTGACAGGTCTTGTAGAATCAGTACTTTCCATCATGCCGAGTAGAGCAGAGGAGGTACCCTGCAGGACCTTGAAAGCTTGGGTTTCGTTAGTGTCTGGATGTATGAGTTTGATATGTTCCTCCAGGAACATGGAGCCAGGACAGAAGGTTCCACAGAGTGAGCAGATGTAGGTGTGGTTGGGAAACGGCTGCCCTGAAACAAACAAAAAAAAAAAAAACATTTGTTGACCCATCATATCGAAATGAGGATTAAGTCAAATTTGGCCAAAATGACCTAATCATATTTTCAGGTTCCTGGCTTTAAAATGGTACTGAACTTATAGAGCGCTTTTCAAGTCCCTCCGGACCCCAAAGCGCTTTACACTAACAGAC